AGCGCTGCCTCGGCTGGCCACACCCCACTTCTAGATCTTCTCCAGCCCCCTATGCATGGCTGACTTAGGCTCCTTCACTGGCTCCTGCCCTCCTCACTCTAGCATAGGCCACTTTGGCCCCTTGTCAGGAACGCTCCCATAGCCCAGACCAGTCCTCCACTGCCTTTGGTTAAAGGCCTGGCTAGGCCTCACCTCCCCTGACCACTGCAACGCATGGGAATCTCTTTTTCTCTGACCTCCTACCCAGAGCGTGCATCTTGAACTCTGTTACCTTCCCTCCGGGACACTGTGTAACCTTCAGCAAACCCCCTTCCCTGTGTTCTAAGGGCCCTCACAGCTCTTATATCTTGTGTTCTAAGGGCCCTCCCAGCTCTGACATGCTGTGTCCTAAGGGCCCTCCCAGTTCTGACATTCTCTGTTCTAAGGGCCCTCCCAGCTCTGACATGCTGTGTCCTAAGGGCCCTCCCAGCTCTGACATCCTGTGTTCTAAGTGCTCTCCCTGTACTGAATCTAGTTCTGGGGTTCTTTAGTTCTGGGGTTCTTTACCTTCTTGTGTGTCCTGGACAGCTTTGACCATCTGATGGAAGGCCTAAGAACCCCTTCTCAGAATCATTTTGGGTTTTTAAAAAAAAATCACAATTGAGGGAAATGCTAAATTTTCAGTTAGAAGTCAGTGAGTTCATGGACCCTGCGAAATTTCTTCTTGGACTTCAGGTTGGGAGCCTCTGTTCTATAAAAATTCAATGTTCAATAAACTCTAGAACACAAACCACTGGAGGAGGGGCTCTCCCCTCCCTAACTGCTAGGAAGCCTCAACTTGGACCTGCTGGGAAACCTGGAGGGCAGCTTGATAGAAATTAGGTTTGGGACAGCAGACCACAATAACTTCCAAATGGACACTTGATCTAAATAGAACAGGTGACATCATTTGAAACAACAGGAGCGCTAGGTGAGCCTGGCTGGAACCTTTCACATAGATGATTGGGGGAGAATTCTTCACAAAGCCCAGGGCTCTAACCCTGCTTCTGGGAAGGCTCACGGAGCTCAGGGCCAGCTTCCTTCTTACTTAGATTCTACTTCTCAGAAGGGGCTTAACGCCCATCCAACCATCTGCAGATGCTGCCCCGCCTCCCGGTCTAGAGCTTTAAAGACACCTCTGGGGCCATGAGATACTTCCAGGAATGTTCAATTCAACTTTTTTTTTGTTGTTTGTTTTTGTTGAGGTAATTGGGGTTAAGTGACTTGCCCAGGGTCACACAGCTAGTAAGCACCAAGTGTCTGAGGCCAGATTTGAACTTAGGACCTCCTGACTCCACTGAATCACCTAGGTGCCCCTCAATTCAACATTCTTACTAAATGTCTTGTGGTTTGTTCTTTGTTTTCTAAGAGGACCAATGACGTCACAGGGTGATGTCTTGACTCAGGCAAGAATTGTATTAAGTGAGGCAGAGCTGCTCATAGGCATCAGCCTTGAGGCACTGAAGTCCAGTGGCAGAACAGAAGTCAAGACAATTGGCCACGACCCGGAATGCAGCGGATGACTTTGGCCTCTTTGATGCCTGACTGAGCTCTGAGGCCCCACAGAGCCTGCTTCAGCTGCCTTCCACAGTCATTGGGACAAATGGTTCTCATCTGCCCATTCCACCTGGAAAAGTCCTCACAGCCCCCTAATTCATATAAATCAATACAAAGAGGACACATTTGAACTCTGTCCTGACTCCAGGCCTTGCACTCTAGTCCCTGTGCCACAGAGGGAGGGACATAGCAGGGGACACGGATAAAACAGAAAACAGGTTAGGGGGTGAGCGAGGTGGGGAAAAGTAACATCCAGAGAAAGTGCTCTATAAAAGCTTCAGCAGGGAGGAGACAGACACTTTTGACTTGGGAAAACCAAGGAAGGAGTCATGGAGGGGGTGGCACCTGAGCTAAGCCTTAAAGAAAGAGAAAGATTTTTAAAGACAGAGTTGAGGAGACAGCAAGGGGGATAAGGGAGATGACCTAAGCAAATATCCGGGGATGGGAGAGGGTAGAGTGATGTTGGACAATAGCCTATAGTCTAGTTTGGCTAGACTGAAGAGTGGAAAATACCACTAGAAAGGCGGGTTGGTACCCAAGCATGTAGGGCCTGTGAGTAAGGCAGGGCAGAATCACAGAGCCTGACAGCTGTACAGGAACTTTGGCCAGCTGGTCTGACCTGTCCTTGAATAAGAATCCCCCACTCCAACCTACCTGACTAGTGGTCATCTGGTCTCTGCCAAAAGGCGGTCGGTTGACATGGGCCTAGGGGAGGCAGCCCCTTCCACTTCTGGAGAGCTCTGACTCCTTGAAAGTTTTTTCAGACATTAAGCCTGAATTGGCTTCTTTGCATCTTTCCCCTGTTTCTAGTTGTTTCTCCCTCTGGGGCCAAGCAGAATAAAGCTAATCCCTCTTCTACAGGATAATCCTAATCAAAGACAGTCATGTCTCTTCTCCAGGCTAAACACCCCCTCTTCCTTCCACTGCTACTTATGTACCATGACCTTGAGGCCCTTCACCATTCTGATTGCTTTTCCTTAGATACTCTTCAATGGGTATTGTTACACTTGTTAATATTTACATAGCACCTACTATGTGCTAAGCACTTTACAAATATTATCTCATTTGATCCTTACAACAACCCTGGGAAGTCAGTGCTATTATTATCCTCGTTTTACAGATGGGGAAACTGAGACAGACAGAGGTAAAGTGACTTGCTCAGGGTCAAACAGCCAATAAATGTCTAAGGCTGGATTTGAATTTAGGTCTTCCTTACCCCAAGCCCAGTACTCCATCCACCAGACCACCTTGTTGCCCTAGCTCTTTGACAGGACACACAGGTATTCCTTCTCCAGCTTCCTGGTTGGGGTCATCCACCCAAGGTCTATATACGTCCAGGAATGGGGGAATTCCCTATTTCTCCAGGCATACCAGAAGACTGGAACCCATGTTTCCTGGTGTCAGATCCAGTGTTTGCTCTACAGTGCCTTAGGGAGGTGGTCGAGGGGTATGTCTAGGGGAAATACACTCACCCTCAAATTATATTGAACCCTATAGAATAGCAGATGTTACAGCTGTCTCAGGGACAGTCCCAGACCTTTAAAAAACCCCAAATTCCATGCTTTTGAGATGGACGGGACTGTAGGAATCATTTAGACCCTTATCCTTGGGTCTTAGTTTCCCTATCTGTTGAATGAGGATAATACCAGTAACACCTCTCTCCTGGGGATTTGGGGAGGCTCACGTGACCCTCCCATGAGTACTTGGAAAAGCTTCCAGATCCACAGAAGAGTCAACAACGGTCATTTCCGTTGCGGTGGGGAGATGCTGGGGGGCTAGGGTTCCCGGGGTGCTGGTACAGGCTGAACCAGGCATCTCCCCCCCTGCACTCCCACCAGAAGCTAACGGCTGTACTGTATCCAAACTGGGGCGGCTTTGTGTCCCAGGAACAGCTGGGCAGACACTTCTTGTATACAGGCAGGCCCTGTTCCTCCGAGAAGCTGGCCCTGAGCTCTATAGACAGGGCCCGGTGGGGGAAGGGGGGAGAAACCTTGTGACAGGGATCAGGTCTCTGTCCTCCTCTCCCCAACCTTCCCCTGGCTGGACGAAGAAAATGACACCCAGAAACCTACAGGCCCACTCAGACACTGTGCATCTGGTTCCCTTGGGAAAGGGAGGGCGGGAGCAGAGAATTTCTATTAAAAGCAGGAAAAAAAGTCAGAGGTGGAGAGTGACCTCAGAACCCAGAATGTCAACAGGGGAAGGGACCTTTGGATGTGGCTTTCACAGATCAGAGGAACCAATGAGATCATTTATTTTTTTTAAACCAGGGGATAAACTGAGGCCCAGAGAGGAAGTAACTTGTGCAAGGTCACACAGCAAATTACCAGCTGGGCCCAGACTAAAATACTGGCTTTCTATCTCTCAGACCAGAGCTCTTTCCTATACTTGTAAGGACAAGAGAAGCCACCCATCCCTTGTCTGCAGATCCAGTGACAGAAGGCCAAATAATCCTTTCAATCCAATCCTTCCAAACAGGCCTATCTCCTGCCACTCTTCCTCCCTGGTTCCTCCAAGGAGGAATGCAGAGCCAGGGTCTTCACTGGGGGCAGCGTGAGGGGAGCAGGCCTCACTGGCAGGCTCTGAAAACAGACTGGCTGTGTGACCTCAGGGGATTCACATAACCTCTCTGAGTCCTTTCTTTCCACATTAGAAACTCTCCGGGGGTTGTTTCTAGGGATGGGATTTATAGAAAGATGAAAGAATTGCGCAGATTCTGTCCAGTTGCTAAGTAAGCCTTGTGGTCCAAGGGTGCGATGGAATCTTACTGGGCCTTCAGAAATGAACACTGGGAAGAAATTTAGAGAATTCTGGCTTGCCTGCCTGGGAGTATTTCATCAGAAGCAAAAGCAGAGAAATGACTCCTACAACAGAAATCTGCCTGCACCTTAATTGGGGTGGGAGCTGGTCCTGAAGAGAGAAGCACCTGTTGCCTTTGTTCGAAGAGGTGGGGGGCTATGGGTGCAAAACAGTGCATGTGCTCGGAGGACCATTCCATGACTTGGGTAGTTATACTGAACTGCCTCTGTTCCTTCTGTGGTATCAAAGGATTGCTGTTTTTGGAAAAGGTGGTGATGTCAAAGCAAAAAAATATGTGTAATTAAAAAAAATTCACCTCTAAACTGATCAACTCCGAGCAGATTGAAACATCCTTCTTTCACTTTATTTTTTGCAATATGGCTAATATGGAAATAAGTTTTGCATGATTTCACATGAATAATGCATATCATGTTGCTTGCCTTCTCAATGGGTGGGAGAGGAGCTGGAGGGAGGGGGAATTTGGAACTCAAAATTTAAAAAAAAAAAAGATTTTTAAAATAAAGAAACCCACCTTCAAATCCTATTACCTCAGGGGACTTTAGAAAGGTTAACTATTATTCAGGTAAGTTGCTTTAGGGGTGAAACAGAGAAAACCAACATCCATCTCAGTAGAAAGCACGGTATTCACTTTTATTTAATTTTTTTCAAACAAAAAGCTGTACAAAAAGAGAAGCCTCCCTGAATGTTCTTCGATTTTATCAAAACCACAGTGCTGATCAGCATGTTTGCAGTGAAGGCCAAGCCGATATTTGCTCATGAAAAGAAGGAGCTAGCCTAGCATTCGTTGCCTAGCTTTGAGCTGGGCACTGTGGTGGGCTCTGGAAGGGGAAGGCTTCCCTTGCCAGAGGCCCAGGTGGGGGGCATCTGTGGACCAGAGCCCCCGTGGTCCCTCCCAGCTTTAGTACCAGCTTCAGAAGGGCCATCCAGCCCACGGCTATGCCCACTCTTAGCACCCATGGGCCATCCCTCATAAAGCTCTGCCCCTTCATTTACCCCTAACTCCATCCATCCCCCTTCCCCAGGCCCAGCTTGTACGGCCAGCCCCATAAGCTCCTGCTGCCTTGGCCCATCGACTCTCAGGTGTCTGGTTGGGAAAGGGATCGCCTTCTTCTCGGTCCAAAATGAGGCAGTGTGTAGGCAAGCACCCCAGCCAGGGGATGAGAGGGCCCGGTTCTTAGGGGTGGCTCTCCCGTGTGTGGCCAAGTCATAGCTTCTCTTTGAGCCTCTCAAGGGGCTTCACCTCTGCAATCTTCAAACACTCTCCCATTTCCAAGCCAAAGAAGTTTAGAGTTGTCTCCAGAAAGAACAAAATGGCCTCCCATCAGGGACCATCTTCACCCAAAAGCAACTTGGGGCCGGAGAAAAGGGGGACTCAGCAGCTGAGTCCTAAAGTCATGGTAAGCAGACTCCCCACGCCCCTGCCATCGCCACCAAAGCCCAGGAGCGCCTTCAAGCTGCCTGCTCTCCTGCAGGGCGGATCAGTGGGGCTCCTTGGCCTCTTTCCAGCTGGGAAGCCCTTTATTGGATCCCAGGAGCTGGTCCTGATCAGAATCAAAGCCACTGCCTCCGGGCTTCAACACGTCATGCATCGCCGACGAATGGTCTGCAAGGGAGGGTTTGGATCCACCTGGAAGGGAAGCAAGAGTCAGGAGCGTCCACCCCCAATAGGCCAAACCACTTCTGACAGGTCGTGGCCTTGTAGTACACAGTGAGATATGCTTTTGGACCTGCCCAAGGTGGGAATCTGCTTTGTTAGGACTTTGTTTATATTTTTCTTTCTCCAATGGGTAGAAGAAAGTGAGAGAGAAAATAGATTTTTATTTTTCTAAAAATTTGATTAAAAAAGCCCATCCACTCCTATACAGGAGGGCAAATTCAGGTGGAAAGGATGTGGTGGGAGGCAGGAAGAGAGGGAAAATGACCCTGCCCACGTCCTGACACCCCCCCCCCCCCATTTCGGGACTTCGGTGGAGGGGGGGCCCCCGGAAAGGGGGGAAAACCCCCCCGCCCCCCCCCCGCCCCCCCCCCCCCCAATTTAGGGATCTTCAGTGAACAGACTCCAGCAAAGGGAAATTCCTCAAAGAAAACCCTCCCAAGGTCCCACCCCCAAAGCCAAGAGAAGAAGTTCACTGACCTCAGAGTACAGGGGAGGTGGACGGTAGCGGAACTCCTGGATGTAGGCAAAGAAGGGGCCCTCCGGGGCCTGGCTGCTCCTGGCCTCTTGGGGCGGTGGCGAGAGGCTTGGGCCTGTCTCCTCAGACACCACCTCAGAGTACTCTGGGGGAGCTGAAACAGCATGGGCAGGTGGGGAGGCAGTGAGGCCAAAGGGGAAGTGTCCCTGGGCTCCAGAGTCCCATCTCTGCCTCCTCTTTCACCCTGGCTTGGTCTTGCTCACTGAGAAGGCCCTCCCACGTGCCTGACCCTCCCCACACCCTCTCAGCAGGGCAGTGGAGGTCATGGGCTAACAGAGAGAGAGGTGGAAGAAGGGATCTCAGGGGCCCGACCTCAGCCCTGCCTAGTTCTCAGGCATCTGGTCTCTCATTTTAATGGGAGTAAAAAACGTGGGCACAGAAGTGAGGTGTCCACCCACGCAAGTCAGTGCTGAGCCCAGATCTGGATTAAGGCCAGCAGCAGAGTGGACAGTGTGGTGCCTCAGAAAGGGCCCAGGGCCTGGGGAGTCTGGGGCCTAGTCCTAGTTCTGCAAGTCATGGCCCTTCTCTGGGCCTCAGTTTGCCTACATCCCAGGGCACCAGCCTGGATGAGCCCTGATGGTCCCTCATCCAGTGTGGGCTCACAGGCTCACCTTCGGGCTGCTCAGAGATGGCCATGTGCAGCCAATCCAGGTTGACGCTGTACTGGCTACCCACGCTGGACGTCCGGCTGCCAAATGGGTGCAGTGGGATGGTTCCAATGACAAGGGGCAGCTCCAGGAGCAGCTTGGATGTGCCTGGGATGTCCACACAGACCTGGGAAGAAGATGAAGGGCAGAGGCGTTGGAAGCAAGGAAGGAGAAAGGCAGGGGAGGCACGCATGCTGGAGGGGGGAACGGGCGAGCCAGAACGTCCAGGCACCGACTGACTGGGAAGTGAACCTCTTCTCCCCCCTCCTCTGACACCAGGCACTAAACAGAGCTGAAGGTAAGCCCCCTGAGGGCAAGACGGCTTTGTATTTGAAGCTCTAAGATGTCCCATAATACTTGGTATTACTGTGTCTTTGGACCAGTCCCTCCAGATGGTGAGAACTTCCGGGTGAGGAAACTCCCTTCACCAATGCAGATTGTATCTGTGTGTGCCAGAGGCAAGATTGCACCCTGCTCTTCCCAGCGTGGAGGCTACCACTCCAGCCTGATAACTGGGTCTTTCCCAACAACTCCCAGAGATAGCTAGGGCAGGTCTTATTATCTTTTTCATACAAGGGAGCTGAGACATAGAGGGAAGGGCCTCACCCAGGGTCACACAGCTTGGGCTGGGATGAAAACCCAGGGTCAGGAGACCTGGGTTCTAGTCTTAGCTCTGCTCCTGGACTGTCAGCGTGACTCTTGGAAGCCATTTTCCCTCTCTGGGCTTCAGTTTCCTCACCGGTCAAATGGGATGAACCCCTACCCAGCCTCCCTGCCTACTGCGAGGAGGTGGTAGTGACCTTTCAGGCCCATGAGTGTCAGTCTCCTTCTCTTCATGGTGAGGGCATGGACCAGGATTTCCCCTCTCCTCCCCCTCCCCGCTTCCTGGGGGATTCGAACTCAGGGCCCGGGCCGTACCATGCATCAACACTGGTGCCACCTCACCCTCGGCTAAGAACAACTAATGTGTCTGAGGCATTTCGAGGATAATATTGGCACAACAGCCCCAGAAGATCGGTGCCCCTTCCCCTTTCTTCCTTCAGGGACCAACTCAGACTCCACCTCCTCCCTGAAGTCCCCCTGGACCGGGAGGAAGCGATTTCTTCCTTAAACTCTTCCTCTGACCCAGCAAGGCCCCATTAAGATCCCAGATGCAGGGCAGAAAGGGACCATCTTGTCCAACCCCTCTCACTTTACAGAAGGACCTGAGGTGCAGAAGTTACGGGACTTGCCCAAACAAGGTCACACGGGGAACAAGTGTCAGGACCGGGACCAGAGCCCAGGAGGCCTTGGTGTCTTCCGACTCACCAAGACTCCAAAAGCCAGTGTTTTCCCCACCACGACACACAGCGGCCTGCGGGTAGCAGCAGATGTAAGCGCTGCACTCCACGCTGAACTCCAGAGTAAGCATCCTCCCCGGTGGGCATCGTTTGAGAGAAACCTGAAACCCCATTCTAGATCACCTAGATCAGGCCTGCGCCCCTCCAAAGGATTTCGGGCAGCCCCTCGAAAAATGTAGAGAAAACCAGCCTCTACAATTTTTGGTGGGCCACCCCAAATCCTTTGGTGCGCCTGTGGGCCAAAGGTTGTGCGTGCCTGACCTAGATCTTTGGAACAAGAGGTTTCTAGGCATCCACAGTACACCCTACACTTGGGCAGTAATCCCTTCTAAAGAGCACACACTTTGGAATCTGAGGACTTGAGTTCCAATCCTGCTTCTCAGGCTTATTACGTACCTTGGGCTTTGGAGGTCACCTTCAGCATTTCTTAAATGGTGGGAACAACCTCAAATACGGGAGACCCACTGTGCAGACCATTCCATTTTGGGGTAGCTCTAATGGGGCAGCTAGGTGGCCCAGTGGATAGAGCACCAGGCCTGGAGTCAGGAAGACTCCTCTTCCTGGGTTCAAACCAGCCTCAGACACTTCCAAGCTGTGTGACCCTACACAAGTCACTTAACCCTGTTTGTCTCCGTTTTCTCATCTGGAAAACGAGCTGTAGAAGGTAATGGAATAGCAAAACCATTCCAATATCTTTGCCAAGAAAGCCCCGAAAGGGGTCAAGTTGGATACGACTGAACAACAACTACTACTAATTACCAGTTAGCTCTTGCCGACCTCAGGCCTCAATCTGTCCCTCTCACTTCCACGGCCCTCTGGGGCCAAGCAGAACCAGGTTCTCTAGAACAGCCTGCACATCCCCGAAGACCAGGACAACAGCCCCATGGTCCCCTCCTTCCTCGGCCTTCTGTTGTCCAGGCTAAACACCCTTAACTATCTCAACTGAGCCCACAGTAAATCCCAGCACCAGCAGCTGCTCGGGGGTCAGACTTCACTTTTGTTTCTATCTCCCTGGCACCTCCTGTCACCGCTTACTGAATCCAATTGCAAGCGTGTCACCATCTCCAATTGTCAGAGGCTTTGAGAGCTGGAAGAGATCTTAGTCCAATCTGTACATTTCATAGATGGGGAAACTGAGGCTCAGAGCAGAAGGCACTTAATTCCACCAGGGTCAGACGACCCCCACTTCTGGTACTCCCAGGACCCCGCCCCCCTAATCCACACCACCCGGCTGAGTGTCCTACCTTGAGAGAATAATCCACATGGAGGATTCGGCACTGCAGAATGGAAGGTCCCACGGGAGGAATCTTCAGTGCCCGCCCTTGCCACAGCTCCCGTTTCCCTGCGGCGATGGGCTCCCCCACAATGCTCGCCACCACCGATCTCTTCTCCTTCCGGGCCCCACGGGCGACAAAGGTCTGGGTCTGGATAATGGCAGCCTTGGGCACAACTGGCCTGCTAGTGCCATTGTCTATCTCGGCAAAGACAGGGATGACCTCACCTGGGAGGGATAGGATGGATGACGGCATGAGGAGGGAGCGAGGAGAGCGGAGGATGAGAGCCTGGCCCCCCGTAGTTAGGCTCACAATGACGGAATGTTAGTGTTGGAACAGACTTTCCATAACAGGGGACCCAATCCCACAGCAGACCCTAACCAAGTCACTGAATCCTGTTAAAATGAGGGGTTTAACCCTCCAGGGTGCCTTCCAGCTTTAAATCGATGACCCCCATGTTTAACAGATGGGAAATATCGGCAGTTCAGGGAGAAGAGGAATTTGCCAAGGCCCTGGGCCAAATCAGAGCCAGAAATGGGGAGGGGGGGCAAAGATGAAGTGGTATGCACTCTCCCCAAGGCCCCTTTCCTTCGGGGACCACACATACACAGGGAGTTCCTCCCACCCCCACAGAATAGCAGCTACACCAAAAGATCTGGTCTAGAACAGCCTGCTCAGCTGGCCGTCTCTGGTCCCCTTGGCAGATGGTTAAGATAAAAGATAAAGAAAGAGCAGCCTCCCTTTGGACCTCCCCGCCAGGACTCAGGTGAGTACACAGTGCCCCAGTTACCTGGGGTATAGCCTTTCCTATCAATCTTGGCTGTGATGGAAACTGGGCCTCGATTGCAGTACCAGGCCCGGGCCATCTTTTCTTTCACACCTGCCTGAGGCTCCTGTGAAAGAGTAAAACCCAAAAAGCAAAAATAAACAACAGCTTATCCATACCAAGGCCACACCTGCTTCCACACTGGGAAGGGCTGGGGTGGGTGCAACCTCTCTGTGCCTTTTCTCATCCCACGAAACTCTGGCTGGTTCATACTAGAGTTTGTGAAGGGGCAACCACGTGGCGCAGTGGATAGAGCACTGGCCCTGGAATCAGGAAGGCCTGAGTTCAAATCCGGCCTCAGACCAAACACCTGACACTCACTAGCTGTGTGACCCTGGGCAAGTCACTTAACCCCAAGTGCCTTCAAAAAAAAAAAAAAAAGAAGAAATGGCTTTTATTACTTCAGTGCAGAAACTCCCTCTACCAATGCCTGGAGGCAATGCCAGCCACAGAAAGCTGCCTGGGGCACTGATGGGTGAAGTGACTTGTCCAGCCAGTCAGTATGGGTCAGGGGTGAGTCTCTCTCTAGCCTCTCTAGCCATGCTCCATAAACCCTCCATAAATGGTTTTTTCAAAGTCCTGCTCTGTGACTCATGGGGTATGGGGACCACAAGCAAGTTCCCCCACCTCTGTTTTAATAGGGGATGGGACAAGATTCCCTCGCAGATCAGGCAGTCCACAACCTATTACTTCCCTTCATCCCATGAGGTAGAGATATGATCACCCTTTTGGCAGGTGAGGAAATCGAAGCCAGAGTTGGAGATTTTGCTCAAGGTCATACGGTGAGTTCCTTAAAGATCCTCCTTTAATGGAGCTTGTTGGCATAGTGTGGGGCACCCAGGGTATGCAAAGTCAAGGCCAAGAGCCGGGAAGGGTAGACTCCCTAGACTAGTCCCCAAAGGTGGCCCTGGAAAAGAGGGGTGGCTAGCCTCAGGACAGAGGGGGGAGATTAGCCTCAGTGATGCCACTTGTCCACTGACGTACCAGCAGGGCAGGAGTGTTGATGTCGATGGGCTCAATCACTGTGAACTCTTTTCTGGCCCGTTTGGCTGTGCCCCAGGGTCTATGGAGCTTGGCTTTCACACAGTATCGAACACTCCCATGCTTCCCTTCAAATGAGGTCACCAAAGTCCTAGCCAGCAGAGAAGAGAGGTAGGTAAGAATCTGGGGGTGGAAGGCAAAGGGAAAGAACTTACAGGAAACCCCAACTCTGTCTATCTATACTTGGTTTCCTAGGAAGGGCTGAGCACGAATGTACATGTGGGCTCTTGGGGAGACTGGGTAGCCCAGAGAGAAAGGAAATAGAGGGGAAAGAGACACACAGAAAAAGATGGTCAAGGAAGAAAGAGAGAAAAGGGGGTGGTGAGAGGACAGACCCAGAAAGAATGAAAGAGATGGGAGAAGAGAGAGGGAAGAGGGGAGTAGGGAGGGAAGCAGCCACAGATGGGAGGACACTAGGTGGTACCTACCACCCACAGAGGCCCTATGGTTTTTTAGTACCCACAGTAACAGGTTGGGGTGTCAGTCCCCGGGTCCCATCAAGGGCTGCCCAGCTCGGACACTTACGTGGGCAACTGGAAGCTGAAGGGGAACTCGTGCCTTCCCGGCTGTAAGGTAGTAGTGTCCCCAGAGTCTGAAAGTCGGAAGAGATTGAGGGGGGGGCGCGGTGAGGGTTGGGAGGGGGGGGGGGCTGGAGAACAGTAGGGCAGGCTAAGGGACCTTAATTAGGATCGACCAGGGAGTGGTCCGCTCAGACTGCCAGGATCGTCTTCATCTGCACTCCAGGGGAGGAGAGTGCAGAGGCCACTGGGTAGCTGGCTGCTGGGGTGGTCGCAGCGGCTGCTCCGGCGCCCTACGGTGCGCCCCACCCCCATCCCCGGGGTTCTGGGCGCCAGGGCCGGTGGGGGGCCGTACCTGGGGCCAGCAGCATGTCGCGGTGGTTGACCAGCTCCACCTGCTCGCTGTAGCTCTGCGTGTAGGCGGTGCTGGAGCCGGCGCTGCGGGACTCGGTCCAGTGCACCCGGGCGCAGCCCAGGGCTCGGAGGTGCAGGGCTCCCACCCGCGCCGCGGCCGCCAGCTCCAGCAGCACCGTCCCGGACACGGCCTGGCCGCCGCTGAAAGCGGGCTCGGGCTCAGGCCCGTCCAGCAAGACGGCGAAGCGCTTCACCTTGTCGAAGATCATCGCGGATACAGAAGATCGGCGAGAGTGGGGCGGCAGCCAGAGCACAGAAGACTCACACACCAGTTGCTGCCTCACTGGAGGCTCTACTTCCCGAGAGAGCCTGCAGCACGTTTTATATGGTGAGGGGCGGGCCGAGAAGAGGCCTGCGGCCAATGGCGGAGCCGCTCCGCGAGCCCCTGAGGAGGCGCGGCCAATAGTGCGGCGGCGGAGGCGTGGCTAACGGCGGGGCGCGGCGGCGAAGAAAAACAAACACGTGGGAGAGCCGTCCCCTTCCCCCGCCCAGGTGGTGGGCCCGGGATCCTAGGCCGCGCGGTTCGCGCGTGCCTAGGGGCTCGTCGCCCTCCCAAGGCTCCAGGCCTCCTGTGGCCACCCAGCCACCCCACCCCTCACCTACACACAAACAACCAGAAGCCTCTAGGGCCCCGACTGTCCCTCCTTAGTTCCAGGGAGCGGCCCGGGCAAAGTCCAGCCCGCTGGACCCTCCCCCCCTTCAGTTATAAAGGGCTGGAATTACATCCCAGTTAAGGAGCCTGAGGGATCTTAGAACCGTCCCCTCACCCCCAAACCGCGCCCAAAAGTAATGATTCCAATTTATCGCTTTAAAGTCGGCGGAGCCCCTTAGGGCACGTCCCATCGCTCTAGAACCTCAAAACCGTCCTCTGAGGCGGGGTCTGTCCACGTTTTACTGAGAGAACGCCACACTCTGGGGGCTGGCGAAGAAAGCGGCTTGCCCCTGGTCACACAGCTGGTAATAAAGGGTCGGAGGAAGACTCTAGTCCAGTGCTCTCAAATGGGGAAACTGAGCCCCGGGAGGATTACGGGATTGATCCAAGGTCACACAGTAAGGTCACGGAACAGCGAGGACTAGAACCCAGAAGTCCAGCCTCTCGACCCCAGGGGCTTTTTCAGTTTAACATATTTATTGAGCCCCAAGGAGTCCGTGGCCCTGGGCCAAGATTCACTACCTTTCTACCCTATCCCTGCCCCACTCCAACCCTCAAGGCTGGACTTCTTCTGGACAGTTCACTCTTTGGGGGTGGCGGGAAGAGCCCGTGGCTGAGACAAAAGTTGGTGCCCTTCCACAAGTTACTTTCCATCTCCGAGATCACTTTCCCCACCTATAGGATGAGGTTGAACTTCGGTCCCTCCTTCCTCCCAGCTCTGACATTCGGTGTTCTGAGTGAGGATCGGCACTGGTATCAGTACAGGCTGGAAACCCAGGTTTTCCCAGGCGCTGTGCTGAGCTTTTCAGAGGTGGAACTGTTGGGCAGAGCTGGGAATTTCCCCACAGCTTAGCGCAGGGAAGGAAATTGTGGAGGATACAATCACTCTTCAACCCTCCTCTTCCCATCTCCTCCCTCACCCCAAGGAGCTAGTTAATCAGTCAGTTTAACAAAGTGACTTTAAATCAGACTCGGCCCACTTTCCGGAACTAACCAGCTCCCTCCTCTTACGCCTCCCCCCCACCCTGGCCATGCTACCGCCCCTCCATCCCCTTCCCATCCCTCTAGGCCTAAGAATTCCAAGAAACTTTTCCATGCTAATGCTGGGTTTCCTGGGCCTAGGGGCAAGACCTAGTCTGGCCTGGTAGAGCCTATAATATAGTTATCCAAATATTTCCTTCATGCCCCACCTTCCTAACAACTCGGAGATCAATTGGGATTTTCCCTCCTCCTTGAATAGTTAGAGGAATCTCCTTGGAAAGGGCACAGGATTTGGATATGGGGATCCTAGGTTCAAATCTCACCTCTCATTGCCTTTAAGACTGGGCAAGTCACTTTCCTTTTCTGAGCCTCAGTTTCCTCTTCTGTAAAATGACTGGGCTGGGCTAGACAACCTCTCTAAGGTTCTACATGTGTGGGGCTAGTCACCACTGACACCTCTCCCCAATTTCCTTAGTACATACCCTGCAGAAGCAACAAAGCTGGGATTTCCTCAATTACTGGAGTCCCTGAGCAGGAAGAGGACAAAGAGACCTTCTAGACCTACCCCTACCAGAACAAGAAACCTCTTCACAGCCTCCTGAGAGGGGAAATTCCTTACAAGACTCCTCTCTGTAAGACCTCCTGGGAAGAGGAATCCACCAGTGCCTTGGGGTCGAAAGAGCACAGATGCAGCTGGACCTTGGGTAAGTCACTTACCTTGCCCAGGCCTCAGTTTCCCTATCTGTAAAACCAGAGAGTATGATCAGATAGCCTGGGAAGTCCCTTCTTTCCAGCTCTAAAACAATGATCCTATAAGCCTTTCTGGACCTTCCTCTGTTTACGTCCGTTTTATTTAAATTTCAGGGATCATTCTAATGGGAGTGCTCCAGTGCAAGAACTGCCTTTGCTTTATGTATGTGTAGTCCCAGGCTTTCCCTAGGTAGGGACCTCAGTGGTCCCCTAGTACAATCCATACACAGAAGGAATCCCCACAGAAAAAGTCTGGCCAAATTGCTGTCCCTGCTTTGCTTCAAATCCTCCAAGGAAAGGGAACCCACCATCTCTCAAAGTCACCCATTCCACTTTGGTTGTTGTTCAATTGTTTCAGTCGTGTCTGACTCTTTGTGACCCCTCTGGGGTTTTCTTGGCAGAGATACTGGAGTGGTTTGCCATTTCCTTCTCTGTCTCATTTTACAGAGGAGGAAACTGAGGCAAACAGGGTTAAGCAACTGGTCCAGGATCACATAACTAGCCAGTATCTGAGGCTGGATTTGAATTCAGGAAGATGAGTCTTCCTGACTCCAGGGCCAGCAGGCACTCTAACCACTGCACCACCTTTGCCCCATTCCATTTTGGGCAGGCTCTGATGGTTAGGAAGTTTTTACTGACATCAAGTAAAAATTTGTCTTTCTGTAACTCCCACCTACTGTTTTAATTCCACCCCCTGGGATGGAGGAGAACAAAACTAATTTCCTTTGCATGGGGAAAGGGGGGGAGGGTACTGCTTCTGTTCTCTCTCCCACCACCCTTCCCTCTCTCCCCTCAACATCAGTCTGTCTGTGAGAAGGGAAGGGGAGAATGAGAGCAGTTGCATTGGCAGGGACACAGATGGAGCTGGAATCCTCCTGGGGGAGGTCTTGGGGGGGAGATCAGGAGGTCAGGGAGGCTCCTCTCCCCAAGAGAGCTTGTCTACTGGCCCAGGCCCAGGTGTGGGGGCCTCAGCTGTGAGATCAGCCCAGGCATGGCCAGTATTGGAGAGGCAGACTTCCACCCACCCATCTCGCTGGGCAGGAGCAGAATGTTCCCATCTTTCTAGAAAACTGGTGCATCGTTGTTTAAAGCCGGGACCCAGGATGGGACTCCTCACCCTAAGGTCCCCATCCATTATGAGTGTGTGTGTGTGTGTGTGTGTGTCTGACCATTTGTGCCTAGGAGGAGGAATGACCTTATGTACTGGTGAGAGTGAATTTGAGCTTATGTGCGTAACAGAGGGAGGGAAAGAATGTGAAAGAGTGAGGGTGACCTTCTCTTCTTTGCAGAGGACTATGGGTACAGAATTCTGCAGACACTGTCAGACACTTGGGCTTTTTGTCTGGCTGTCCCCATACCTGCAGTACTTTTCTTCCTCATCTCTGCCTTCTGGCTTTCCTGGCTTCCTTCAAATTCCAGCCAAAAGTCTCACCTACAGGAAACCTTTCCCGATCCCCTCTAACTCCTAGTGTTTTCCCTCTGCTGATTTCTCCTGCATGTAACTTGATAGTCAGGTTACAATGGCTGGATGGGTGGGAGGTGTATGTATTTGGAAATCAAGATAATAGAAACATAAATGTGCTGGTCACACAGCTAGTAATAAAGGGTTGGAGGAAGAATCTTGCAAGAGAGATGTTGAAGAGTAAGCATGAGAGAAAGAGAACCTGAGAGGGTGGGTTTGGGGTCATCAGAAGGTTCTGCATTCAAATCTCAGCTCTGACATGTACGGACGTGCTCTAAGATTTTGCTTTGTTTTTCGTGTTTTGCTTTGAGTAAGTGGCTTCTTTTCCTCCTTTAGGTGGCGACAGCACAGCAGAGGGGGAAAGGGCTCTAGGCTGGGAGTCAGAGGACCTTAGTGTCCCAGGATTTTGTCACTCCTTGCCTATGTAACCCTGGGCCTCAGTTTCCTCATATGTGAAATGAGAGGGTTGTATTAGATGGCCTCTGAGATCCTTTCTAGTTTTAGAACTAGGAGCCCTATGATTCTCTTCTAAAAAGAAAATAAGGATGTGGAAGGGCTGGAGTCAGGAAGACTTGAGTTCAAATCCAGCCTCAGACACTTACTAGCTATGTGACCCTGGGTAAGTCACTTAACTCTGTTTACCTTCATTTCCTCATCTGTAAAATGGGGATAATAATAACACCTTCTTCCCAGGATTGTTGTGAGTATCCAATGAGATTATATTTGTAAAGTGCCTGGCCCATAGTAGGTACTACATAAATGTTAGCCATGATGATGATGATGATGATGATGATGATGATGACGGCTCATTTCTAAAGGGCTTTAAGGTTTCCAAAGTTTGTGATGTCATTTGAGCCCCATACCAGCCTGGTCAAGCAGTTAGTAGAGTTATTGTTGGTAATTGGAGGCTCCTGGGACTCACTCACCTGAGGTCACAGCTCATAAGCCACAGAAGTGGGATCTGAACCCAGGTTTCTGACTCCAAGCCCAATGAATGGTCTTTCCACTGCAGCCCCTCTTCTAAGAGTAGGTTTTTAAAGATGAAAAGAGACTGAGAGAGGAAGAGTAGGAGCCAGAGGGATTTGAACGCAAGGGTAGGGAGGGTATCAGCTTTCCCTCCCAGGATGCAATCATTCCCCTTGCTGACCCCTTGGCCTGTCACGGCACCAGCTTTTGTAGGTTCTGGTGACTCGCCTGCCCCAGTCCCCATGCCCACCCACTTCCCCCTCCTTCTCCTTCTCCTTCGCTTCTTCCTCTCCCTTTCTGCTGGGGGACCGGAAACCCTCAGGATGAGAGTCCCTACATTGCCTGGGGCCTGGCTGTGTCCTCAGGAAGCTGGGTTTGGAGGGAGGGGTGGGGGGAGAAGGGGAGGCTCAGCCCAATCTCTTCCCCCAGAGCCAGAGCCAGCCAGCCTCCTGCTGTGGGGGGTGGCAGAGGGCCATGGAGGCTGGGGGCAGGGCTCGATGGAGCAGGGCACGGGAGGGGGGAGGGTAAGATCAGACTGTACTTTCAGGGAACATGCGTGAAGGAGTTTCAAGAGATAAACATGCCCCTGGTTCAAGAGAGACAGGGACCCCCTATGACCTCCCTCCCAGGAGTTTGAGGAATGGTCAAGACGTCTCCACTATGGAGACGGAAAGGATGTAGCACAGCCAACTACAGATTGGAGATGGGCCAGGGGACTTGAACCCAGGTCTGACCTCCAGCTCTCCTCATTCTATCAGACTGTCTCTTTGGAGTAGAAGGAGAGCTGGGTTCCAATCCCTCCTCAGCTCCCTTCTCACCACATGCATGTACAAACTCAGACAAAGCACACTTCCTTTCTCTGGACCTCAGCTTCCTGATCTGTAAAATGGGGGAGTGGGAAACAAGAGGATCCTTCCAGCTCTGAATCAAATGATTTCTTGGTGCTGGGGGTGGGGGTTAGGGTTGGTACCAGTGAAGGGGCAGAGAAGGAAGCAGGCCCACTGAGGGCATTTCTTGGGGCTACTGGACTGGAGGGGGTGAACCCACTTTCAGGAAGGCAGCCAGTGTACTGACCCTGTTTCTGAGTCTTCCTCTTGCCCACTGGGCCAGGTGGCTATTCCCACCCCCACCCCCCAATCTGGCCAGGCATCCCAGAAGGATGGAAAAATACAGCCAGGGCTGATCCCTTCCCAACCCCACCCTTCGTCACACTGGGACACCCAGTCACAAGTTCAGCCTGGCTCCTGCCCAGGACACAGAGGTCAGACTTGGACCTCCTCGGTCCTCACCACCTGCCCCCACCCACTCCACTGGACACCTGGAATAGGCTGCCTGTGCACTTGTAGTGACACCTAGTGGGGGAACCGGGAAGGTGCTGTGGAACCCCCTGGCGTGGAATTCAGTTACTCCAAAGTAAATTACTTGATATAAATGGCAAAGCTCGGTCCTGGGGAAGGGTCAGTGTTTTAGGAAAGAAGTGGTCCCCTCCTTGGAACGCACAGTCAGAAACTCAGATAACCTTCCATTCCCTGGCAGGCACAGTCTCTGGGGAAGCCCTAGGGAGGAATCTAGTTCCCAAAAGGCTTAAAGGAGTGGGATAGAAATCAGGGAAATCTTTCTGGAGGAGGTGGAAATGGCGTTGAGCTCCAATTTAAAGCAAAGCTTCTTAACTATTCTGCGTGTGTGTGTGTGTGTGTGTGTGTGTGTGTGTGTGTGTGTGTGTGTGTGAGAGAGAGAGAGAGAGAGAGATGGACCCCTCTGGGAGTCTTGGGATCCCTTTTCTGAATAATCTTTGTAAATGCATTAACAAATACATGGGATTACAAATGAAACCAATTTTATTGAAATACAGTTATCAAGTGAATGATTTTTAAGAACCAAGTCCCCTGATTTAAAGGATGGTTAGGAATTCAACAGGAGAAGAAAAGAATTGAAGAATATCTAAAATGAAAGGCCCCTTAGGACACAGAGAGCTAGAATGACCTTAGAACCCAGGATGTCAGAGCTGGGAGGGCCCTTAGGACCCAGAATATCAGAGCTGGGAGGGCCCTTAGGACCCAGAATGTCAGAGCTGGGAGGGCCCTTAGAACCCAGGATGTCAGAGCTGGGAGGGCCCTTAGAACACAGGATGTCAGAGCTGGGAGGGCCCTTAGGACCCAGGATGTAAATGAAACCTCAGGAACTTGACTCTTTCCCTCTTATCTTTTCTCCCAAAACAATTTGTGCATAGGACTCCCACGTCTCCATCTCCATCCCTGACCTCTAGTTGGCTCTCCAGACCTGTATCTCCAGCTGCCTTCAGACCATTTTCCCCTGGATGTCCTACCAACACCACAAACTCGAAATGCCCAATAAGAGTTATCCTTCCCCTACACTTGCTCCTAGGCAGCTAGGGGGCACAGCATATAGACCACCAGGCCTAGAGTTAGGAGGACTTATCTTCCTAAGTTCAAATCCGGCCTCAGACACTTAGTAGCTGTGTGACTCTGGGCAAGTCACTTAACCCAGTTTGTCTCAGTTTTCTCA